ACGTCAAGTATCAATTTCCCTGCATACCCTTAATGGGGTCCTTCTCGTATCGATCGTTGGCGATGCTCTCCGGACACGTAGGTTCAATTTTGTGTCTAGCCTTGTGTGGTGAATTCATCCTCAGCCCCTCACAAGGCAAATACATCATAGTTTGGCAACAACCAGATTTTAGTCCGTTCATGAAATTCAGACAAGGCGATGGAAGCGTTAAGGCGGTTGTTGCTGTTGGAAACAAGGTGTTTACAGTGCACCAGGACAGCAAGATCAGGGTTTGGAAGGTTTCCCAGAGGTCGAAGAATGTGTTTAGGCTTGTCGACACGCTTCCCATAACAAAAGACTATTTGGGGAAGTTCATGAAGCAAAGTAATTATGTCCAAACTCGAAGACATCACCAGAGGTGGTGGATCGAACATGCAGATAGTATATCATGTTTGGCTTTCCATAACGAGTTGATTTACTTTGGATCATGGGACAAGACGCTCAAGGTGTGGAGGATTTCGTATTTGAAGTGCGTATAGTCAATTAAGGCTCACGACGATGCAATCAACGGGTTGGTGGAAAGTAAAGGGATTGTGTATTCGGCTTCTGCAGATGGGAAAATCAAAGCTTGGGGCAAAGAGGGGGAAGAAGAGCACACACTGTTTGAAGGGTATTTTGTAGGGGCATAATGATGTTTCGCTTAACTCTGTGATCATTTCTAAGGATGGGAGATGGGTTTATGAAGGTGGCTCGGACGGGTTTGTGATGGGATGGGAAGCTAGTAGTACTAGCACTTCAAATGGTGGTGATGTTCAAAACCAACTTTAGGTGAGTTGGAAGCTGGTTTGCTAAACAAAAACGCATCGAATGGCAGTTTTGTCAATGTACTTGATGGGGGAGCCGTTGAATCAGATCTGCTGGGCTTAGATACCTCATGAGTTGCTCAGAGAGGTGCTTTGTCGAAGCTTGATTTAAGAAACATTTCAAAGCTTATCCTTCCTCCCTTAGGTTCTTCGAATTACAACCAAACTCCTATCCAATCAAATGGATGGATTGTCTCGCCCATGGATTCAAGAGGCGATATTCACTTACACTGCATGAGAAGCACTCATGAATAAGATAAGAAAATGACCACTTTCTGAGAGTACAGATGGGTCACTTTTTACAGGAGAACATGCAGGAAATGGAGTGGAAACAAAAGCAAAAGCAAAGCAGAAAAACCGAGCAAAAGCAAAAAGCAAAGGTAGAAAAAAAGGGAAAAAAATAAAAAGAAGGAAAAAGCAGAGATAATTGCGGGATGATGGCATGATTGTAGAGAAGGGAATTATGGGCGTGACCCATTGAACAGGCCCCCCCCCCGCAACTACCAGCTGCACATGCTATCCCATTATCCAACCATCTGTCATCCCCACCTTCTGCAGTAGTTTTTCTTTTTTTTTTTTGGCTTTTTTGAATGATGTAATTTACTTTTCTTATTTTTTTGGAGACATTTGTATAACCCCACCAGAGGCTAATCATAAAGAAAGAAAGAAGGCAGCATGCCACAAAAAAAAAAAAAAATGTCGGCAAACCCAAAATAGTGGGCTGGAATGTTATGTGGAGAGCAAATGCCTATATGCCCAAAAGAGCCAGGCCCTCTATTATCACCAACCAAATGATCAAAAATATGTCCAGTACTCTAAAATTATTCGGCAGCCTGTCGCTATTATCACCAACCAGGTGATCAAAAGTACGTCCAGTACTCCAAAATTATTCGGTAGCTTGCCGCTATTATCACCAACCAGGTGATCAAAAGTACGTCCAGTACTCCAAAATTATTCGGCAGCCTACCGCTATTATCACCAATTAGATGATCAAAAGTACGTCCAGTACTCCAAAAATTATACATGAGCATCACTCATGTCAATCATACATAAACATTCATGAGCATCACTCATGTCAATTATACATAAACATTCATGACTATCATTCATGTCAACATTCATGCGCATCACTCATGTCAACATTCATGCGCATCACTCATATCAACATTTATGAGCATCACTCATGTCAACATCCATCAGCATCACTCATGTCAATCAACATAAACATTCATGAGCATCACTCATGTCAATCAGCTTCGAAAGCTTCATTTACAGAGCCCTAACTTCGAGAGCTTCAGCTTCAAAAACTTCATGTACAAAAGCTTCAGCTTCAAAGCTTCAATTTCAAAACTTCACCTACAAAGCTTCAGTGCATGGTATACAAAGACCGCCTTTGAACAACCGCCACTTCAGCCCATACATGGATTGAATTTGAAGTCTCTAGCCAAAAGACTCTCTTAACTGAAGACTCGGAGGACTACACTATGTACCATATATTGGGCTTCCGCAACTGGGCCTCATGAAAAATACTTGGGGGACTTAGCCCCATTATTCATGTATTGAGGAACGAACCCTTATTCTATAAAAGGGACTCCCTCACTTTCATTAGAGAGCACCCATTATTCATGTATTGAGGAGCGAACCCTTATTTTATAAAAGGGACTCCCTCACCTTCATTAGAGAGAGACTCTTAGCCTATCACTTATGTATTGAGGAGCAAACCCTTATTCTATAAAAAGGACTCCCTCACCTCCATTAGAGAGCATGGCCGCCTGCTGAGCAATCGCCTCACCGTGAGCATCACTCCTAACTCATCACTTATGTATTGAGGAGCGAGCCCTTATTCTATAAAAGGGACTCCCTCACCTTCAACGCCACAAGCTGAGCCAACCAGGGCAACATAAGCCACAAGCCGAGCAACCTCGCAACATGTGCTACTTCTAGTTGAGCATCATTTCACATTGAGTACCGCCTCATATCGAGTATCAGTTCTAGACGACATCTAGTTACTTCGGCTCACACATGGACTGAATTTCAAGTCTCTAGCCAAAAGACTCTCTTGACTGAAAACTTGGGGGACTACTGTTAGTACCATATTATATTGGGCCTCGTTACTTTTGTTTCCAGACATTGAGCCCATGATCTATGTAAAAGGGGAGGAGCCCTTAGTCTATAAAAGAGATTCCTCACCCTCACAATCCTCAAGCCTTAGATCCCCAAACAGAGGCTATCATATTAAGAGCATCCCTCTCTCAACTCTTTTCCTCTGTGAACCCAATAGAGGGCAATACCCTCACAAACACAACAACACTTTGTAATCCATACATACAGTTACAGAGGAATACAATCAACATCAGTGTGGACATAACCCAAACATTGGGGTGAACCACGATACATCTTGTGTTCTTTGCTTTCTTGCAGATTCACGATCGGATTTACGTTGTTCCAAGACCTTCCGGTTTTGTGCATCAACACCTTACAACCCTAGTCAAAAGGAGAAGCTTTCCATGAAAATTAATTAGAAGGAAATAATCTGCAATTCCCAGCTAATCAGAAGGCAATCGATGGTTACAATACTTGTGGTTTACAACTTTGTACTTCATCTACAAAAAGATGTCGCTGGGGGATTTGGCCCAGTGTGGGTGCAAAATGCCAATGTTTGATGGAACACAACTCAGCCCTTTATCCCATTTCCCATGCGTAATCATTTCACAATCAAATAACAATTAATAACAGCTAAATAGAATCAGGATTCTGGACATTCTATATGACCAGCAAACAGGTATGCAATACTGTACAGTAAACTGCAGCCAAGTTTGGGGCGAAGTAGAAAGTAGAACGTTCTAATCATCGTGCAGTATTGTAGGATAAGAACGAAACGAAAAAAGTAAGACGAGAATGTTCAACTAAGAAGGTCGGCAAAACATCCCTTTTACATTTTTAGGTTCTGATTTAATGTGTAAAATTAATAAATTATGTGTGTTTTAAGCTAAGTGGTCAGATTATCATGCTTTGACCCACTGCCACCTTCTCCCAGTTACACTAATTTGGCATCATCCAACCATTATTGCCCATTGCTTTGTCGCTTATAATTATTTTGAAATTCCTATTGCATATCGTAAGAAGTGGACATAATTTTACAGCATTAAAGGTGGTTGTTTTGTTTCAAATCTAGTTATCAAGGTTTAAAAAAATAATGTATAAAATAGATAGAGATCTAGTCCAAAGGTGCTTGGGAAACTAATGCATGCTTGATTAGCATAACATTTAAGAGTAAATAATTAGTCAGTTGGTAAATGTACATGCACAAGAAAGCCGACCTTCACAAAACTGAAAATCTTGTTGGCTTCAGGCCGTACATGCACAACAAAATATCGAGTTTTTTCCTTTGAAAAAATTAATTTATAAAATTTGAACTCAGAATCTTCTTCAAGTTTCAACAACGTATAGAGGCCTGACAAGTGACAATCATATTCTCTATATATGAGAAAACCAAATGTGATTTGCACCCAACTAGCCAACCATAGGGATATTCATGCTATATATGCATGGCGAGGGTCAAATGTAAAACAATATGATGTAACAATAATAGAACTATACTTTTAGAGAAATAGTTGAGCTACCATACCACACAAAGATGACCACAACTTTAATCAAATTATCCCCACCTCTGAAATCAATGGAAAATGAGATTTTCAAAAAAAAAAAAAAAAAAAAAATCACAACTTTGAACTTTGGAAATGGATCACTTCTAATCTTCTAAGGTACTATCATCCTCTCTCTTCTAAGATATTCTCTTTTGTCATTGATTCCTCATGTATCAAATGTTTATTAGACAAAAAATAAACGTATATTGAATGAATGAATGATGCCATTAGAATAGTGCAATGGTTGCAAGAATTTTTCCTTCTAGGAATGAGATTCACTTCGGATTTCTGTGTCCTAAGTCTCGACCGAGAGATTTAGGCGTTCAAGTTTTTAAGTGGGTCAGTGGAATGCTAATAGGGCCGTATGGTTAAAAATGAGTGGTCCGAATCTCTCGATCCGCGGATTCCAGACACAAACATCTAGAGTTGATCTCAATCCTTTCTTCTATTCCTTGATGTGGGGCCTGATCAGAACTACATCTTTTTTCTTTGGCTTTCCATTTCATCCAGCAACCTAATTTAAAAGGAGACTAGTTGGCCTCTTTTGAAGAAAATCGATCCTTGTATCACTCATTCACTCTTCAATTTCTCCTCAATCTTCACCAAACAAAAGCTACCCCATTTCTAGTCCAAGTTATTCTCCAGTTAGCTATGAAAGGAATGGATATTTTCTGTGCATCTCCAGCTTCCACAGCCATTTGCTCTAGCCTGGACCAACGTGCTATGGTCCGCCAAGGCCCCGGGCCCCTTGACCATCGTCATCACTATCATCTTCGTGATCGCGATCAACTGAAAAACCAACCTCATCGTCAAACTCACCATGCCCCTTGCTCATCTCAGTTACCTATCGATCCCAAACCGTTTTACGAGAAATGTAGAAAGAGTTTTTCTAGTGCACAAAGTCAGCCACGCAGAAAGAGATCTGCTGACATACATGACTTAACAAGGACTAAGGGTACCAATGGCTCTTCTTCTTCTCGGTTTCTCTTAAGTGACTCGCCCTTCATCGACTGGATACAGAAGCCTGATCATAAGAATCTCTCGGCTGCGTTTGTTCCTCCTGAAGTACCCTCTAAGCCTAGAGGCTTGATGAGCTCAAATGGTCATTCTAATACTGCCTTGAAGTCTTCTTCTACTCGTTTTCGTCACCAGGTAAACCTACTTTTCATTTTTCTTCTGTTTCTTTGTATTTTTTGCTATTGGACAATTGAGCTCATGCATATAGTTGTTCAACTGTTGTAGGTTGTTGTTTTAAGGGTGTCAATGCACTGCAAGGGTTGTGAAGGAAAAGTGAGAAAGCACCTCTCTAAAATGGAAGGTATAGTTATTTACTAGATGGAGAAAGAAAAAATACTTAAAATTTCGTATAAATTTGTATATATCTAATAATTACATTTGTATACATTTCTTTATACTTCAAACCAAATTAGTTTTGTATTAAAAAACAAATTAGTTTAGGTGTTTGTATTATGAGTTTGTCAGTAGAGGGATGTAAAGAATATTCTCATGTCAGAAAATTTAATATGTTATAATGTCAGACATTTTTTTTAAAAAAAATTATAATTTTTTTTGTTTATTGATAATTCAGATAGTCCTTATTCAAGCATGTTAATGTTATGTGCAACATCACTTGGAATCAAAATTGAAATAATAGATGATGTTTCTGTAATGCGATGCTGAATTTCTGCAGGAGTGACTTCATTTAGCATAGATTTCCCGACAAAGAAAGTCACGGTGATGGGGGACGTGACCCCATCGGCTGTGCTCTCAAGCGTATCCAAGGTGAAGAAAGCCCAGCTCTGGCCTTCGCCAACATCATCATCACCCTCATCAGCATGAACCACTCATGAACCCTAAATTAATTAAATCAGTTATCTCTTTTCTTATGGGTAATGCTACTTACATACCTCTTTTTACCTCTTACACACACTTGTTAATTTTTGTTTATTGATCTTCTTTCAATTCATTCGATCTGACAATCGAAAATTAAATAGGATGTGTGAGAGGGAAAAATAAGTGTGTTGATAGCACTACTCTTTGTTATATATTCTCTGCCATATTTCAAGTTTTCAGGCCTGCATGTGTTTGTAATCTGTATGATTAAGTTTTTAACTAATAAATTGTTAAGTCAATAATCAAGTTTGGTATCTTATATGTAAATGCAAAACAATCTGAGCATTTCACCACCCCACATATCCACGAATTCGTTTCACTTTTCAGTTTTGAGCATATATGTACTTATGTTAACCACCATCACCTTTTATAATTAGTTTTTTTGCATTAATTCAAAATGTTTGACCCTTTCGAGAAGAATTATGTGACACGACCACGTATAACATATGAAAACTCTACCAGTTTTTAAACCGACATAATCTTGTTAATCTGAATTTGAAAGTTCATCTAATGGCTCGTAGATTGTTTGTTTGTCGTATATGTTTGTTGGCAACTTCTTTAACATGATCAGTTCCTTCTTAGCAGATTACCATGGAAAGCATGCATTGCACATATTGTCAGAGAATTAAAGTTACTGGATTAAACCTACCAGTGTCAAACCCTTATATCCGATCACTCGGAACAAATTAGTTATACCACGCTATCGTTTTCCATGCACATATTTTTGAGAAATCACACAAGTTATACAACACCATCGTATATTCAGGTATCACGTAATATTTCCCATCAATTGACTTCCGGGAACATATATTTGACATTTGAGCATCCTACGCCTTTGATGCGGTAGTAGGTAGCAAGTGTGGCAAAATATATAACAACAACGTGAAACATACAAACAAGAGTGCATCGTGACAATGTTCAGAAACAGAGAAATGCATGCGTTGTCAATGTGGTCGGCACTCAAGGACATCTTATTGCTTGGGACAAGAAGCACTTTTCCTTTCTTCTTTCTCCTTTCTTCTCCTATCCTCTGGATTGTACCATAAGTAACGGTAAGTGGTCAAATAAATGGTCAGAATTTGTATGCTAGTATTGAATCTTAGCTCTCTAACAAGATTTCATAATTTAAAGCCACCACTTGTTTCCAGTCACTCAGTACTACTGTCTGGTGATATTCCTCTTTACTTGTACGTAAGTGGTCTTAGGTTCGAATCTCGTGGATGGCGAATTCGATACCAATTTAAGTTGTCTATTGTGTGGCTTAGCTGAACTCTCCCTCCCCCTTAGTGTAAAATATATTGTTGTACCAAAAAAAAAAGCCACCGCTTGATATAGTAGCACGTGATTTTTTTATAAGATCAAATCTCACAAACAATAATTACAAATTTAAATTGATTTTGTGGCATCTGATTTTTTATTAGTTCAAATCTCGTGTACAACAATTAGAGACCAAAGTGTAATCTCTCTTGTACTTTAGCCCAACATGCCATTCCCACAAAACCAAATGAAGACAACAAGCTCTACCAACATTTTTTTGTTGCAAGCCTTTTAATTCAAACGTTGCATACTTTCATGCCTTTTTTCTTGGTCGGCTTAATTTGTTCCTTCTCTTTTTTGCTTTTTTAAACTATATTATCCATCTATCCTCCGACCAACTAATTAGTAGGCAAAAGAGTTCTGCAATATCCATAGATTGAATGCAAGCAAAGTTAGCCATAACTTTTATTTTATAAACGATAGTGTTAATGTGTTAAATTGTTAAATTGTTAAATTTTAAGAGGAAGGAGATAGATGAAAATCAAACCTGCAATAAAGTGTATATGTATTATTATTTTCCACAACTACAGTAAAACGTCATCAATTAACCATAACTTAAATAATTATTAATCTGTTGTGATCTTTCTTTTTCGGATGTTTCGTGACTTTATTACTATTAAGAAAGTTGGAAAATGATTCACCCTTCAAGCAATCATATCATAGAATATGTTTTTGGTATAGAAATTTGGTATACCTGTTGGTGCAAAAAATTTCGTGATGATCACCATGAAATCTTTTCGTTTTGGCTTTTTAGTTAAATTGGTTCTTAAAATTAGCATAATTCCTCATTTTGGTTTATGAGATTTGAAATCGGTCTCTGAGTTAGTTCACTATAAATCATTTTGGTCATTTCATGATAAATTATTTTGGTCCTTTCATAAGAAATATTTGGTAAGTAAGGACCAAAATGACACAAATAACCTCAATGTAATAAACAATAAGGCAAAAAGATTTGACAAAATATGAGGGTACTTTTGTAGTTTTAACCTTATCTAATGAAGATTTTTCACAGAATGACGAAAATGATTTATGGCGGACAAACTCAAAGACCACTTCTATCGATTTTTAAATCTCAAAGATCAAGATGAGAAATTATGTCAATTTGAAGAACCATTTTAACTAAAAGTCTTTCTTTTCGTTTGTGAGGAAGTGTTTGGACATTGGATTATCTTTGCCCTCATTTTCATGCAAATAACAATCATTTCTGCAATTTAAATCACAATCCTTTTCGAACATGCATCTCTAGTGCAGAGATTTTAGCGAAACACAAAATTAACAACATTTTAAATTAAAACCTTAATTAGAACACTAGTAAGTAAGATACGTGGTAAACTGCAGCACAGCGTCAACTCCATCAGTGTTTTGCTGATTTGTTGCAGGAATAGTCTTAACAAGAGCATAACCCTTTGCATTGAGATACTTGCCAGTTCCTCCCATGACTGCAAGATGAGACTCCGACGCTGCCACCCGATGCACACCGAAGAAGGTGAGGCTATCAGCATAACCTCCACTCTGAAACATGGCTGTGAAGGCAATGGTCTGGCTCCTCCCATCTTCAGAACTCGCCACGTAAAACCCTTGTGCCCTGCCGAGCAAGCCAGATCCAAGCTCATGCCCTTCAGTCAGCTCATCGTCGAAAACTGTCAGGGTCCCAAACATAAGCTTCTGAAGGGTGATTCCAGGGGGAAGCTGAGCCCCGTTCAGGTACGGAAGCCCATTCCCACCAATGATGTTGTTGTTGCCATTGTTTTGGATCAAGTTGTTGCCGGCGTTTCCACCAAGGCCGGTGAAGAAGGGGACGTTGTTGTTGTTGATGATTCCATTGTTGTTGTTGTTCTGGGGAATGCCATTCCCAATTGGGATATTTGCTCCATTGGGTTTGGCAAAAGGGACTTGACCGCAGAAGGGACTTGACCGCTGACTGCCGGATTGGCCACAATTCCAGTGACAGCTCTAGCCGAGGGGTTTGATCCACCGATAATGTCATGCAAAAAGAAGGTTAGTGGATGATAGGATGCTGCATTGCCAACTGTGGCACTTGTAGCTGCAGCAGGGCCTGCTGGATTTGTAGCTACCTGAGGAGGTGGCACATTGGAAACAGGTGTTTGTGTTTGAGTTGTATCAGTCTCCTCGGGGGCCGCAGGGTTTTCCTCATCGAGGATTCGGGCAGAGGTGGCGCATGGCATGGCAAGAGCTAGAAGCAGCAGCCAGATTGTGAGCTTGAGGGCCAAGGGAGTCGATTTCCGGGTTGCCATAAATTCGAAGGAAAGGTAGAAAATTGAAGAACTTATGATCTGGAGAGGATATTTTGTTTAATGGGTTGATGATGAATTAAGACAGAATTGTTGGGTATATATATACTAAGTTTAACAAGATTAAGTTTAAATTATAAGATGGAGTAGGTGTTCTAGCATTTCTGGTCCTGGTGTGTTGGTTAGAGGCTTGTGTTTCAGTTGTGAACTTAATTGAAACCTTTGGATTCGTTTAGGAAGTTCCCTTTTTAATTGAATTTTTAATTAAAATCGTATTATTATTTTGACTTTTGATCCATTAACAGAGTAAAAAGTAATTTCATAGAAGAATTTCTAAGATATATGGTAACTTTTTATTGTATATAAACTCAAAATATGGAAATAGAAGTAAGATCCATGGAAGCCATTATATTTCCCATCAAAAATGAAACAAAGGAGTTGGTATCAACAACTAAATTGAAAAAAAATGACAAAAAGCTGCGTTTGCACAACAAGCATCATCAATCAGAGCTTCCCCCAGAAACTTGACTTCGCAATCACATCGACAATTTGACTCCGGCGCAAAACTTCCGTCTCTTCCCTCGAGTAGGATTCGCTTCCCTGAAGTCTACAGTGGTCATATATAGGCTGAGTTTACATGCCAACTAAACCTCGAACCACAAGCATAGTGAGCTTCCTCAGACATTGAGTTGGCAACAATAATACATGATACTGGTGAAATGTTTCGATTCATAAACTCCTCTTCTTCCTGAAGCCTTACGGGTGCACAATGCACATTGCTTAGTTGCTTTACATGCCAACCTAATAACTGTTTTCTCACCACAATTACCAGAGACTAGAGCTTCAAGTACCTAAGAGCACAGAAAAAATCTTGTCAGAAGCTCCCCATCACCCAAAGAACACCATTCCTCTTACTCTCTGCCGAAGGCCAAGCGACGTTACGTTCCACTTGTGCTGATTATCTCTTCCCGGACGACCATTAATGGGCAGAGCCTAGTTCAGTCACAACGTCACATGCAACAATATCCTCTCCACAAGCATCCACAACTAGAGCTTCCCAAGCTTCCAAATGAAATTGCATGTTTCTCTTTTCCATCTCCTCCAAGACAAAACAAGCATCATTGATCTTCCCGCACTTTAATAAGCCCGTAACTAAACATTCAAATGTTTCTAAACGAGGACAATGTCTACTTGCCAACATTGCAGTCAAAACCTTAAAACCTCCCTCAAAATCTTCTATCTGACAAAACCCATCAACCATCATCCTGAAAGTAGCTGCATTCGGCTCACAGCCTCCAACTTGCATTTCAACCAAGACTTTGTAAGCCTCTGCAGCCCTGCCTTCCTTGCACAGAAAGTTAATCAATATGTTATAAATCACAACATTCGGCTTAAACCGCCTCTTCTTCATCTCCTGAAGGAAAGACTTTGCCTCCTCAATCTTCCCTCTCTTTCCAAGATCACTCATCAATACACCATAATTCACAAGACGTGGTTTACAACCTCGATACTCCATATCAAACATTATCTTCTTTGCTTCATCATGCTTCCCCGCCAAGCACAAACCTTCCATCAATAATGCATATGTCACCGCATTTGGGTATTTCCCTTTCTGTCTCATGTCCTCAAACAAACCAGTAGCTTTCTCCAACTCACCCCTTCTACCGAAAAAACCTATAAGACTATTATACGTCACAACACTAGGTTGCACCTTTTTCTCAAGCATTTCATCAAACACCTTCCATGCTTCTTCCCAGTCGCCCTTCTGAAGCCACCCCTTGATCATTATATTATACGAAATCGAATTCGGACGAAAACCCAATGTAGAACACCTCCCAAATATCTCATCCGCATCTGAAAACCTACCGCCATCAACAAGCACATTAAGGAGCTCATTGAAGCACTGCAACGTACGGACACAGTTAAAAGAAGGCATTTGATGAAAAAGATCGACGGCCTTCTCTACCAAATCGGCTTTCCCGTAATGTTGAATCAGAGCAATGAAAAGGGTATCTTTGCAGTGAATGTTTCGATCTCGGACAAGGCCGAGAACGGCGTCGACAGCTTCGAAATTCCGGCGGCGAGCGAGCTTGTAGAGAAGAGCAGAGTAAGAAGGGTAGTCGTGTTTGAAGCCCATTTGGTGGTACTCGTGGAAGAGAGACAAGGCCTCTTCTGGGTCTTGCGTTTCTTTGACATCGGAGACGAAAGGTATCGGCCTGCGGAGCTTTGCGGTGCTTCTGTGAAGTCGTTGGCGGCGGCGAGGGATGGTGGTCTTGGGTTTGTTGGAGCGGAAAGTCTGATATGGTTGGTGATGGGATTGCAGGGGATTGCTGCCGCAATGGCGGAGAAGGTTGATAGATTTGGCTCTTGAATGGAACATTGGACGCGGGAAAAAGAAAGGAAAACAAAATGAAGCAATCGTTTCCAAAAACAAATTGGAGCAATTATTTACGATAAAATTGGAGTTGTGATCTCTAGATTAGAAATGTTCAAGATAATTAGAGCTATTTTAATTGGGGGTGTGCTATCCACACCCCAAATTACTTCTTACACATCCCTTACTAATTTCTGTTCGTTGATTTTTAATTCATCCGATCTGACGGCCGAAAATTAAAAGGGTGTGTGAGAAGTAAAATGGGGTGTGTGGATATCACACCCCTTTTAATTGTGATAAAATTAAAATAAAAGAATGACGTTAATAAAATAATTAAAAAATGAGCAAATCAGGGTATATACGTTGGCAATGAAATTTCTTCCAACAAATTAGTTGTAAGATAAAGAGTCTGTCTAGGGGAAATTCTTCGAACTTGGTTTTGAACCTGATGTGGCGACCTTCACCACACTGATCAACGAATTCCTCCTTCAGAATAAAGGGGCTGATACTTTCGGGATTCTTAATAAAATGATTGAGAGTGGTAGTTGTAAGTCTTTGCGAGTATACTATGGTTATTGATGCGTTGAATGTTACAACTACCCCCCAATTATTCATATTATATGTGATTTTACCCCAAACTGCCACGTGGTAGCATTCTAACTCACCTCCCTTTTCTCTCCTTCTGTCCCCCCCCCAACCCTGAGACCTCTCTCTCCTTCATCTCTCTCTCTCTGCACTCACTCTCATCTCTCTCCCTCTCATCCTCCCGTGAGCCCACAGCCATTACCAACCCTGTATCTACAACACCTTCACCATCATTACCCTATCGTCTCTCCCTCTCTTTCATTGCTGCGGGACATAGAGGAACCCAGAGAAAATCTCCTGCGAGATTTTCCTATTCCTCCGGTTAGGTAAGGTTGGATCCCTTTTTAAATCGCCATTGATGATGTTGGACGTTGTGTGATGAGATTTACATTGTTTTTCCAAGGTTTTGAAGACGAGAACGGCACGGGGGAAGCTCACCCATTTTTCCGGCGAACTAGTGAGTTTCGAGGGAATTTCCAGTCACCTCCAGCCGTGTCGCGACTATTCGAGGGTAGCAATCTCTTCCCCTCATTTTGCTCTTCATTTTGGTAGTTAGATCGGGGTCTAAAACCCCTGTTTGCCGTTGGCCGGAGCTGTAGTAGCTTCGGCGTTCTTCTCTAGCAACACCAGGCCTTTCAGGTCGTTTAGAACACCATGGGCCTTAGCCTGTTTTGGACCAACCCAATACCCTGGCCTGTACCATTTTTCTTTTTAGTTTTATGTTTTTTTTAAAAACCCAAATACCCAAAAGGCCTTGGGCCGGTTTTAAATGAAAGGGCTTAAAGCCCGGCCTGCTTATGTGTGGACTGTTGTGCATGTGTGTGAAGTGGGCTGTGCCCTGCCTGGGCCCCGTGTGTGTGTTTTGAGCTGTGTGTGCGTGTGTGGGTTGTGTGGTGTGTGTGATATGTAGTGTGTGTGTGTGCTGTGTATGTGTGTGTGTGTGTGTCCATGCATGTGTGGTGTGTTTGCGTGTGTTATGCACGTGTTGGTGTGTATGTATGTGCTGTGCAGGTGTGTGTATATGGGCTGGCGTGTGTGTGTGAGTGTGGGTTTGGGTTAAGCCCAAACCACTATTCTTCACTCTAAAACCCTTTTAACCCAAAAACCTTAGGATTTTAAAACCCATTAGACCTTAACCCATTCAACCTAAATCCCTTATTTTATTTAGTTCAAGCCCAAATCCTTTAGAAAATCCTTTATTTATTTATTACATTTTTGTGCTTATGTGAAGTTGCTAGTGAGGAGATTCTTAATCCTTATCCGCACAACTCTACTGCTAAGGAGTATCTGTGAGTGGACCCTTTCTAAAATTTGCATAAATTCCTAGTTTAATTGCATAAATGAAATGCATGCCTTACGAGTTTATGATTTGATTTTATGTTAAGCATGTTTATGAAATATGTGGTTTATCGTCTCGTTTTTTGTGAGGAATTTATTTGTTAACCTATATTGAGCTATATTTTAAAATATATTATTTTCTATAAAAACCATGAATTGGTAGACTATCTAATGGATGACAATAGGATGCTAGAACATGTTTTAGAAACCTCTATTTATAGTATAGACGATGGATGGCTTTATACTATGAAGTAGTTATTTATGAGAGACGTAACTATTTGTGCGTATCTAGTGGACACTATGCCGTCTGGGGTGAGGATCTGGTGTTGGCAGATAGGCCGGGAGAAATAATCCCTAGCTACGAGCTGAGGGACACGGAGCAGGCATTGGGCCGGGAGTTGGTAATCTCTGACTACGGGCGCAGAGACCACGGTGCTGGCATAGGGCCGGGAGATATATTTGTTTAGTGATCATTCTAGCAGCACACCGCGTTTACGAGACGATCTATGAGACGTTTACTGTTTTGATTTCTGCGATGTTATTCCACGATATGACTTTTGAGATATTTTTGGCATGCTAGGATTTTTATTAAATCCATCACTTATTATGCTAGTAGTTTTCATTATATATAAATTGTGGGGGTTAATACATTGATAACTGTTTTTTTATTATTATTATATTTATGAACTTGGTCCACTCATCTTTGTTTTGCGCCCCCATTCAGGTCTTAGAAACAAGGATTACGACACGACATACGAGGCATTCCCCTACCAGTAGCAATCTACCACTCACTTGTGTGATATCTTGTAATGATCTTTCCTTTTTGTGACTCTTGATTTAGATTGTGTTCTGTGCACTCTAGACACTTCCTTAAACTTTGTTTATTACTTTTAGATTCTAATGTTTATTCATGAATATTTTCTCCTAATCATTACTCTTGTAATCAATAAATGGCTTTCGTCACCCTCAGGTGTCGGCCAGCACGTGCCTATCCGGGTATTCAGAGAATATCAGGATTGGGACGTGTCATTGAACATTTTCTTTAAAATGATGAGTAAAGGTATTGACCCTGACGTCATTACATATACTTCTTTGATTCATGGAGTATGCAAATTAAGGTGGTCGAACTACGAGATTGTTTGATGAAATGGTGAGCAAAAGTAACTTTCCGAATCTGCACATCTTCAATGTCTTGGCAGACATCTGTTGTAAAGAAGGCTGCAAAAAGCTTGATCGAAATGATGACTTAAAAGAGATATTGAACCTGACACAGTTCTTATACTTATGGATGTTTATTGCTTGCAAGGGGAAATGGAATGCGGCGGAAAAGTTTTTGGAACAAATGCTCAGCAAGGGATCCATTGTTCATGCTTATAGTTATGGCAGATTGATAAATGGCTATTGTAAGCTTAGAAGAATAGATGAGGCACTGATGCTTCTTGAGGAAATGTCTAGTAGCAGTCTTGTTCCTAATATCGTTACTTACACCACTCTCATGGATGGTTTTTGCAAAGTAGGGAGAACAGAAGATGCACAAAAGTTGTTCGCTCAGGTGCAAGCTTGCGGCCAATTTCCGAATGTTCAAATCTATGCTGTTTTATTGGATGGCCTGTGTAAAAACCAACAATTTCCCGAAGCAATAAAATTGTTAAAAGATATGGAAATTGGAAAGTGAGAAGTTGGATCCAAATATTGTGATTTACTCTATTCTTATTCACCGTTTATCATCAAGAGGTCTTCAACCTAATACCAGGACGCATAACATAATGATTGGTGAATTTTGTAATGGAGGGCTAATGAGCGAAGCAGTAAAGTTATTTAAAGACGGAAGAGAAAGGCTGTTCTTCTGACGTATAACATAATCATCCGAGGTTTTTTCAATAACAATGAGACATCATAAGCGGACTTATTCAAAAAATGTTGGAGAAGGGTTTTTTCTGCAAACGCATCAATTGCGGAATTGATAATTGATTTGTTATCCAAAGATAAAGTAGATCGTGCTTTGTTGCCATTGATAAAAAGATCATAATGAAATTAATTTCTATCTTGGAATGTCGAAACAGATCCTTCAAATGATTACAGTTAATTTTGAAAATATTTCACCTTTCATTCCATTAATGCATTGTATATGTTATGTAGTTTAATCCATCATCTGATAGAGAAATTTGCTCGAGTAGCATGGTATTTGAGCTGAGTCTTGAATATTGAAGGCGACTTGCCCAATAAAAATATTGAGGTAGTGTTCTTCAGGTCACTCTGTGGATGCCAAGGATGCTGATCGGGGAATAAATGTTGAAGTTGACTCTGGCCCTGCTTCTTTTATTACACTCATGCGAGTGCAGGTGCATTGCGAGTAATACTGGTTTTACATTCAAACATGTTCTAAATAATTAGCTTCTCATCTTGATTGAAGAGTTTAAGGGTGTTGCTAGTTTTCTTGATACCAACTGTTTTGCAGGGGGAGGTGGATTGTCTACCCTCCAATTTCCATACTTTTTCCATCCCCTCCTGTTTTGTGTGATCACGGTTAAGCCACGTCAACGTTTTATATTCTTATTGCTTTTTGTATTATTATTTTTATAAAATAAGAAAATAAAATGTTGACGTGGCTTAACCGTAACCACACAAACATGAGGGGATGAAAATGGTATGGAAATGGGAAGGCAGACAATCCATCTCCTTTGCAGGAGAAAAACTTGTATGGGGCTTGGCTTGCCATTGGACTTCGCTGAGTGGCACTACAATCCACTTAAAACTCGCTACGTGGCAAGTCTTAAATATAATCTTTTATCATTATTTTATATTTAAAATATTTAAAATTATTTTTTTAACTAATAATATATTATATATATTAATGTTATGTTTCCTTTTTTATTTCTTTCCCCCTATTTTTTTTCTTCCCAAATCCCCCCACACTTGTTGTTTTGCCCTAGGTCTTAGGACTCCCTCCCCTTTCTTTCATTCCCAGTTTTGTTTCTTTCTTTCTTTAAAAAAATAAAATAAAATAAAGTTATGCATCCACTCCATTTTTATCATGGAAAGCAACCAAGAATCTGTAAGTTTCTTTTCTTTCTTTATACAATAAAACTCTGATCAAAACATTAGCTGTTAAAAAACTCTGATCATATTATAAATATAAAAAACCAAAAACCCTCACCCTCACCCAAAAACCCCAATTAAAAGAAAAGAAAATAACCCTAATATAGCTATATATGTGGGTTATTCATGTCACATGATCAAAGCAAATATTGTATAAAGAAAGAAAAGAAACTTACAGATTCTTGGTTGCTTTCCATGATAAAATTGGAGTGGGTGCATAACTTTTTTTTTTTTTTAAAGAAAGAAAGAAACAAAACTAGGAAAGAAAGAAAGGGGAGGGAGTCCTAAGACCTACGGCAAAACAAAGTGTGGGGGGATTTGGGAAGAAAAAAAATATGGGCAAAGAAATAAAAAAGGAAACATAACATTAATATATATAATATATTAATTAGTTAAAAAAATAATTATAAAAATTTTAAATATAAAAGAATGATAAAAGATTATATTTAAGACTTGCCACGGGACGAGTTTTAAGTGGATTGTATTGCCACTCTGCGAAGGCCAGTGGCAAGCCAAGCCCCATACACGTTTTTCTCCCTTTGCAGGGGATGAATTTCAACAAACAATAATTGCCAGAAGAAAATGTCTTGTCTTGGACGCTTATGTGAAGGTACATGTTTTGTGTGTTTAACAATATTGTTAACATAGTATGTTACTGGATCAGGATCCTCATTGTATCCTCTTTATGGGGATCTTGGAGATCAAGCAATAATGTCAGTTTATCGTACATTGTGCAGTCAGTTTTCGTTAAGTACTATTTATATTCAATTTTAAATAATTTCTGACCGCACGATGTAAGATGAACGGATATGATTGATTGATCCTCAGGAAACCAACAAAGAGGATCCGGCGGGGATTCTTATCCTATGTTACTAGCTTTCATGCATGCGCTCACGTGCGTGCAGAAAGCATTTTTTGTATCACGACGTACGCGCGACTTACATGTTTTAAATGTATTTATATGCATAAATTGACAAAAGGAAAGTCAAATATTTGAAGTAAATGAATAATCTTAAATCATGCTAGAAGAAACCCCTCAAAAACCAATTAAAGCAACTGAATCGACATAATAAAATCGATCTCTATAGAATTTACATTAAGAATAGGGAAAATAATATTTGATAAAAAATTGATTGAATCACATTATTACTAGTTCATTGTGAGGTTAAGCTCACCCCGTCTCCTTAGACCATCTCCAACCTTTGGCCTAAAACCTAAAATTTTTAACCCATAAAATTTAGGGTATGTTTGGTACTTACTTGAATCCAAAATTTAAACTCAAAACAATTTTTATGTTTTAGCCTTAAAAACTTGTTTGATAGGGTTATTTTCAAAAACTGAATTCAAGACTAACTAAAAAATAAAATCTATTATCTAAAAACATAAAAAGTGAATTTTTAGAGATTTTAAACTTAAACTCACTCATTTCTTTTCTCTCCCTCATCCCTTCTCACTCCAAATCTCTCCTCTCTTTTCTTCTTTCTCTCTCTTTTTTTTTAATTTTTTATTTTTTTACCTTTTTCGTTTCTCCTCCAATCCGCTCTGTTTATTCTCTTGGTTATTTCTCTCACTTATCTTCCTCTTTATCTCGTCTCATCCTCTCTCTTCTTTCTCTTTCCTTCAATCATCTCTTGCTTTCTTTCCTCCTCTCTCCTCTTTCTCTCTCTATTGCGACCCCCTCTTTTTAGATCTCTTTATCTAGTTTAAGTCGTAAGATTTAAAAATTTTAAATTGCAAACTAATCAAGTTTTTGAGTATTAAAGAAAATTGTTTTCAAGAAATGTTATTAAGAAATGTTTTGAGAAATTATAAAAAATTTCAAATAGGATACCAAACAGGCCTTTAGGTTTTAACCCATAAACAACTTTTCTGCTCCAACCCTTTTGGCTTAAAATTTTAGCCCCAGATTATTAAAGAATGAATTTAGGTTATTTTTTTTAAATTAACCTTAAAAAAATTATGTAGGCTATCCTAAATTAATTTTATGAAAATTTTAACCTAAAAATATTTAAATTCCAATAAACATTGAAAAATCACTAAATCGACACATGAAACTCATGAAACACTATAGAAGAATATGAAACATATGATAGAAATGTATAAACACAAGACAAATGAGCAAATACATGGTTTGGGAAGATGGTAGAAAGAAAAATTGGAAGAATTGTAGGAGAAAAGTGAGTCTTGTGTGGATATTTCAATAAATATATAGGTATTTATAGAGTTTTTGCGTGAATTTTGAGTTAAATATTTTTTATTATTATTTTAACTGTTTAATTTAAATTTAGACTGTTAGATCTTTTTTTTACCGTCAAATTTGATGATATTTGATCTCAGTCATTGGATTCAATAAATTTATAAATATAAAAAAAAAATATTAACTAAATTAAATGTGAACCGTTGGATAACCAACATCTCATTTGAATGTGGGCCATTGATCAACCAAAAAAGCCGTTGGGCTCAATGTTATTGGCAGACAAGTGGGAGGCACACCCATGTCGATGGGGGATCCACCACTAATCCTAGCCTAAATCTGGCTTATTTTTAGGTTTTAGATTTTAGGTCCAAATTAGAACTTGGGTTGGAATGGATTGGGGGGGGGGGGGGGGAAGGGGGATAGAAGGGGAATTACTGGTTTTATGCCATGGGTTGGAGTTAGCCCTAGTGTAGATAATATCGTTTATTAAAAAAAAAAAACAATCATTTGATAATTAATTTAATCATATTATTATCCGCGTGCGAAATACCTTTTTTTGTAACCGGCATTACACGCCTCTTAAGATGTTTTGAACGTGTTTAAAAATAGAGGAAATAATATTTTATGAACTGCTGATTGAATCACATTATTGCTAGCTTATTGTGAGGTACTAATTTATAAATAAATAAAAAATCAGTACAAAAAAATTAATTATATAAAAAACACTGTTAAAATAACTAAAATACCCTTGCCACATTTGATGCATTATTTTGGGTTGGGATGTTTTTTGTATGAGGGACATTTTTGTTAAAGCTTGTGACAAAAAATAATGCATCAAATAATACAGGAGTATTTTCATCATTTTAACAATGTTCATCCCAAAATAATGCATCAAATAATTTTAACATTATTGTATATAGAAAACGTTGCAAACATAAATACACATCAAAATTTGGATTTGATCAAAGAAATGTGACAAAAGTTAGATCTGATTACTTAATCCCCTCTCCTCTCCTCTCCTCTCCTCTAGGGTTCATCCTTATTTCTGGAAATTTGAAAAACATATAATATCAAAGCTCTCATAACTTTTACTTTTATTTCCCACAAAAAACAAAACCAATAGGTTTCATTCGATCATATTTCTTTTGTGAAAAGTGCTAAGAAGACTTTTTCAAAATCTCTTTATGAACTCTTTGCCACTTCACAATTTAATGTCAACTTTCATGTCAACATTATAAAATATTGTGCAAAAAATATGAGACTGTGTAAAGTCTATGAAGCGTCCCACTGTTAAAAGAGTCTCTTTAGCATTTATCTTCTTTCATTCCCCTGTCCTTCCCCCATGGCTTTGGCTTTGGGTCTGAGCTACCAGACTATAT